CAAAGCCCAGGGACCACGGTTCAATCCCCCAGCACCACATGCCAGCCAGCCGCCCCCTGGTGGGCTGAGCTGGCCACACACACACACACACATAAATAAATAAAATTAAAAAAAAAAAAAAAGCTTGAACAAAGCCTGGTATTGTGGGTCACTCCTGTAATTCTAGTACTTGGGAGGATTGATGTGAGTTGGAGGCCAGCCTGGGCTACGTAAGCGAGTTGAAGGCTAGCCTGCATACATAGGAAGACCTTGTATCAAAAAAGAGTGTATTTTGCTCAAAGGATAGCACTCATAACCCATCTCTTGACATTTATACAGAGAATTAGGCAAATAAAATGATCATAGTTATGTTACAAATTAACGTACTTCGCAGCAGGAAAAGTTGGCAGTGTGATAAAAGCAGAATTCTAGAAGGTGACGGTTTGATTATAAATTTAACAGGGAATATACTAGTTGGTTATTGTTAACTCAAGGACATTTTAATTTTAGTGAGTCATGATAAAGTATTTCATTCAATTGATTTCATTTTTTCTGACCCCTCTTTTAGGAAATAGAATAACAGCCATGATAGAAGACAAAGGACCAAGAGTGACAGACTACTTTGTTGTGGCAGGTCTCACTGATACATCTACTCTTTTGGATCAAGAAATAAATCGTTTGGATGCTAAATCAGCTGGGCCTAAAGCTCCAATCACCGACATTGCCATTATTATCAGATCTGCTGGGGAAGAGGTCCCTGAAGGTTATACGTGTGTTGAAGCCACTCCATCAGCTCTCCAAGCAAACTTGAATTATGGAAGTCTCAAAAGCCCAGAACTTTTCCTGTGTTATAAGAGAGGAAGAGATAAACCACCCCTTATAGATATTGGGTATGTTAACTTTTTCTTTTACTCTTTTCTTTTTCTTTTTATGCTATAGTTAGGGCAAAAAAGTTACTTAATGTAGATTTTGAGGTCCTGTTGGTTTTGTTATTTTAGACTCAAATGTTGTAATATGCTGCATATCTGTATACATCCTCCCTGAATGTCTCTGTATTGTACTTGTTAGGTCATTTCCTTTCAAAAGAACATCAGAGGCAATAGCCCATGAAATGTGAATTCATTTGTTGTACTATTAGGTAAGCTTAGGTAAACAGGAAGAATGAGAAGGTATAATAAGCTTTTTAATTTTAAGGTTTTTAGATAAGGTCTCATCCTTTTGCTCAGGCTTGTCTTGAACTTCTCACCCTTCCATCTCAGCCTCCAGAGTAGCAGAGACTGCGGGTGTCTCCAGGGCATCTTGCTAAGACACTATTTGGAGAACTCCTTGCATTTTTATGACATCTGAACTGTTTAACAAAAAAGCATTCCTTGTGTGAAACACATAATTGGGGTCTGAAGATGTGGCATGTATAGGATGCGTTTTTGTTATGCACCTTGTCAGTTGAAGGCAAAACATCTGGTTCTTATTCTTACCTTGTGCTCCAGCCTTTACTGTTCTTTTTTTTTTTAGCTGTCTTTTAAAGACCATCTTTTGAATCCCCAACCCTTAACC